AAACAGTTCAATTGGAGGAAAAGCATATGAGATTCTATAATTTCTTACCTGACTCACTTCTTTAGCTCTGAGACAAATTACTTACAACTGTTAATTTTTTAAATGATAACATCCCTGAAAAATAGTTAAAGTTTTCTTTGATGTTCTGCCCTTGTACTCCTAGTAACCCCAAATTTTCAACACATTCTGGAATTGTGCTGTGAAAGTACACTAAACTTTTCCACTTACATTGAATTAATTTTGAAAATGTCTAAATGCTATTCTTTATAGCCTATTTTATTATTCATCAGGAGGTTAACAACAAAATAAGTGCCATACCTGCTGTGATAATAGCTGAAACTATCTTGGACAAAAAGCTTTTCTTTTTCCAGCATAACAAGTTGTGGAATTTCATTGACAAATATAAAAACTATGAAGCTACTGGACAAAGTATATAAATTTCAATATGCAGAAAAAACATGTATTACTGCATTTTAATTAAGTTTTTAGCTTTTTCAAAGAAAAATGTCAGGAAAAAAACCATTTCAAATGGGACATCAGAACATTTCCTGGTTATTACTGCTATCACAAGGCATATCCTCCATAATAAGATGAGAATATTAGTATAAACTTTGAAATCACGAGAATGGAACTAGACATTTCAAAAATGAATCCAAAGGTTGTACGACAAGGTGTGATGCATAGTAGATATTTAGCTTTCTTATTTATTGGAATTATGAGTAATGGTTATGATTTTTAAAAACTTCTATGTTGTGAAGATCAGGCACAAGATGGACTGTTGTCGACTCGTGCACACATTTGGGAAGACAGTGTAGACATCCTTTCCTCTAGAGCCCACACAATAGATACACTATAGCATTTTGTTTGAACACTTTGTCTACAATGCATAATTATATATCTAATGTCCTACAGATTTTCTTACCCCATTACAGCTTTCTGGGATTGCCACATTCTGACCCTGTAGGAAAGATATCTTCCAAACACCATCCCCACAATATATCCTCTGTAACAATAGTGTAACTTCTCAGTACTTCCTTCAGTTTAAAATAGTCTGTGCAATATCAGAATAATTGTCCATGATTACTTTAACCTGACTTTCAGTGACTTTAAGATTCCAAATAAATGCTATTGGTGAATGCATGACATTTCTATCATTCAGTTTGACTTTTTCAAAACTGCTTGTATCTATAAAAATGCGTATATCACTTAACGCATTCTTATTTAGTGAAAGTGAGTCTATCAAACTGTGTTACATAGCACATGCCCATTTCCTTATATTAGCAGTTTATTTCCCCACTTTATTCTTGCTTCTGATGTTTTATTTTACCACCTACTGTAATAGATAGTGCTCCTTCTTTTGCCCCCTTTGTATACATACAAACACTCATGTTTATAACTCACAAGTATGATATGCCGTATTGTTTTATTTATAAATATGATTGCTACTGTCACTTTATTTCTTGAAGATTACAGGAAAAAGTGAAGACAGTGCCTGCTTTTTTTGTTATTCTTCATTGGCCAAAATGTTTATTTCATTTCTGGCTATATAGTGGAAACCCAACGAGAAAACCAGGATAAATATTATTTGAAAGAAAGAAAGAATCAGAATACAATACCACAAACCTTTTAAGTCAAATTAAATGGATTTGTGGGTACTTTGCTCTAAACATATGTGTGTCTCCTGCAAAGATTGTTGGAACTCTGCATTTTCTTTTTAAAATAAAACAAGAGTTATGAGTCAACTCACCTAAATACAGAAGCCCTTGAATGAGTTTACTAAAGAACTCCTTGCTAAGAATTAAACACCTGGAATGCTGCTGCTTAGTATTTAATAGAAACAGACCTGAAAACGGTAGTGCAACCCATCAGTAAATTTATTAGCTCTTTCATATATTGCTATTTTCATATATATCCTACATATATCACTACTATTTTACATATATTACTATTGAGAAAACTCCCAGATACCAAAGGTAAAATCAAACTGGAAACTAAATCCTGACACAAAACTGCATCACAAACATATGCCATCAAGATCTTAGGGATGTGGGGACAGAGATTATCACTAAAGTGTTGCCTTGATGACTGCAGTTCAAGTAATGAGATGTTAACACTGTCCCATGTGGTGTCTTGATTGTGTATTATTTCCTAAAGCCTTAGGGCATTTGAATTATCAGCTTGTTTAATCTTAAAACATAAAAGGAATTGTATCTGTTTCTTGATTTTATATGGATGCAAAATATAAAACTGTTCAAGAGAAAAATAATCTATTTGACAGTATTGCAGAAAAAGCTTTTATTAAACTATGTTTCATTTATTTTTCTATTTCCTTATGACAGTAAACGCTCATATTTTCTTATGTTTTTAAAATAGAGCAACTTAAACAGTAACTCATATTGTTTATTTGGTATATTGCACCATTTATATTGTAAACTTCATATTATATTTACGTTATTGATTTTATCAAGAGGAAATAACTTTCATTGTTTTTCAAATGTAAATGCAGTGTTCTCAGATGTTTAAATTTACTATTGAATCTTAAAAAACAACTCAGTGGACGTGATTTGAGCAAACACCAGGAGATAGTGGAGGACAGGGAAGCCTGGTGTGCTACTTTCCATGGGGGAGCAAAGAGCTGGACAGGACTTAGAGACTGAACAACAGCAGCATACCAAATGCACATTTTTTTGTATTAAATCCCTCTTAGATATGATATATTATCTTATTTTATATATCAATGAACTGATTTGCTATTTGAACTGGTTGCCCATGTTTATTTATGATATATTATTCTGTACATTTCTTATCTGGTGATATTGTCATCAGACAATAAGCTGTAAAACACTCCCTACTTATTTTACAGAGAGGCAAAATTTATGCAAGATTGACAATTATGTCTTCTTAATGTGGAATCTTCCTTGAAGATAAGGCTATGATATTTATAAAGAATTTTCTGCAGTTTTGATAATAACAGTAGGAAATAAACACCAAATATAACTAGAAAATTACTCCTAGATGGTTCTTCTTTCAGGCTCTTCTTTCAAACTCAGGGTTATTTTTATTTACTTTCTGTTGAGTATTATCTTTGTGCTTAGAATGAAACTATTTTTCATCTACAAGACTGTTCTTGAACTTGAATGAACTATGTATCTAGGCAGTAATACCCAGGAAAAATAGCATTGAGAAAGTGCTCCACAGTCTGTTCCCCTATTAGCCCATCTAAGTTTTTCTTTATCTCTTTCAGGCAAAATATTTTTTTAAGATGATGAATAGTAATGAAGACCAGTTGTGCAATAAAGAATTTAACCCACCATCTATGGAGTTGGTGCATCATATGACAGTTGCCCAGCATCAACAAATTTGCTGAAATCTTATTTATTAATATACATGATATGAAAATTAGTATTACCTAATGAGGCTTATGGGCTTTCCTGGAGGCTCAGACAGTAAAGAATCTGCCTGCAATGCAGGAGAACAGGTTTTGATCCCTGGGTAGGGATGATCCCCTGGAGTAGGGAATGGCTATCCACTCCAGTATTCTTCCCTGGAGAATTCCATGGACAGAATAGCTTGTGGGCTATATCCACGGGGTTGCAAAGAGTCGGAGAAGACTGAGCACCTAACACAATGAAGTTTATATTGAACTTATAACATTTTCTCCATTAAAAGACTATTCTGTACATTCTTTCTTTATCTTGTGAACAATTTCATTAAAAATATTTCCATAACACTTTAGAAACAAAACAAAAAGCTGCACCTATGCAAACCACCAAGAAGAATTTAAAGTTAAAAGAGTATAATTTATTTCTGGAAATAAAGAGCTCATCATTAGGACTTTGTAGAACAGACAATAAAATCATATATATTAACAGATTTTCAATTTTAAAATCTACATTCATTGTAAAATTGTACTGTCAAAATTTATGGAGAATTTATGCTTTAAATACATGTAAATAAATGACTATTCACAGTATTTTCTGAAGTAACAAACATTCTATTCTAAAGGATTCTGCAGCCATCCAGACTTTTTTTTCTTTATAATTTGTTCTGGCTTTTCTTGAAGGACAGAAACCTAATCACAGCATCAAAATTATTCTTTGCCTAAAATCTGTCATCAATTTTTTTAAGATTAGTATCTTAAATACAAGATGTGTAACATATGTCAAAGATAGTTCATTGTATAAACTGCAGGTAAGTTTGCTAGTTGGGCAAAATTAAATCAGGTTAACCAAGATGCTCTAGCTGATATTAGCAGGGTTCCCATTCAGTCCACCAATAATGTTACTTACCAATGAAGTTCTTTGTTATTTTATCTTTATATACCAATAGCTATATATACACAATTTAAGATTGACATGAAGACTACTTTAGATTTAGCTGGAACTATTTCTGAAGTGTGCAGTTCTTATTTTATTTTTGATGTTTTATTTACAAAAAGCAAATAAATTTTATATTAACAAGTACAATTTGACCAAATTGATTTTGTGGGGATGGAAATATGACTTCTTTGAACTTATAATGTACCGATGTTTCCTGTGTGGGATTAAATGAATATGTCTTTTCAATTTAGTGTCTTAGTGTTGAACAACTCTCAGTTTACTATATTTCTGTTGATGCAACTCTTTCATAAATTTTCTATAAATTTAGCTATAAATTACTTTAACTTTTAGCTATATATTTTCAGAGCAACTCTATAAATCCATTGCTCGATGACTGTACCTTGGCAGCCAAATGATAATGTGAGCTTACTCAGAAATCTTTATATGAAAAACCACCTAGAGACTTAATTTAAATGGTCCAGGCTTTAATTATGTGTTGTTTGTTATTTTATAGGTAATTCTCTGAAGTTGACTAAAGTTGCTGAATGTTGTATTAACCAGGACCTTGCACACTTCAAAAGTGTGTACTGTTTTCTTTTCTGAAAAAAAATAGTTTGAAAGTACTATAAATTCTGGAAGACTTGGACAACTATCCTCTTGAAAGTGCACACTAAATCTTAGTCATTTTACATTAATCATTAATTGACATATTAAGTTGGTGTTGATTAACTTCCTGACAGCGGCCTTCACATCTTTGTTTCTGAGGCTGTAGATCAGCGGGTTCAGCATGGGGATGACCATTGAGTAAAACACAGAGGCCACCTTGACCATGAGCCATGAGCTTTTGGAGTTAGGAACACAATAGAGGAAAAGGATGCTCCCATGGAAGATGGTGATGGCAGTCAGGTGGGAGGCACAGGTGGAGAAGGCTTTGTGGCGCCCCCCAGTTGAAGGCATCTTCAGGACAGTGATAATAATGCAAACATAGGAAGTAAGAATAATCATCAGTCTGCTTACTTCATTAAACGTGGCGGAGGCCAAAATGATCTCCTGGCTAATGTAAGGGTCAGAGCAGGAAACAGCAACTATGGCCACGTGCTCACAGACAAAGTTATTTATGAACTTAGTCCCACAGAAGGATAAAGTCAAAAAAAGTAATGTGTATATTAGGGAACAGGCTATACCCCAAGAGTATGTAGCAATCACCAACACAAAACTAAACCTCTGGGACATCACAGCTGTGTAGAGAAGAGGGTTGCAAATGGCCACAAATCGGTCATACGCCATCACTGCCAACAGGAACGTCTCTGTCACCACAAATATGCAGACAAAGAAGAACTGCATGAGGCATCCTGTGAAGGAGATGGTTCTGTCTTCCACAATCAGGTTTTCTAGCAGCTTGGGTGTAACTGCTGTTGAGTAACAGAGATCCACAAAGGATAAGTGGCTGAGAAAGAAGCACATGGGCGTGCGGAGCCTGGAGCTGGACTTGACGATCAGGATCGTGCCCAGGTTCCCCAGCACGGTGACTGCGTAGACGGTCAGGAAGGCCAGGAACAGGGGCAGCTGGAGCTGAGGATATTCTGAGAAGCCCAAGAGAATGAAGGTGACCTCAGCACTCTGGTTCGCTTGGTTCCTGTGGACAAAATATTAATGTTGATCCAGAAGTAGAAACTAAACTTTGAAACAGGTGAGAGAACAGAAATGTGGGAAGCTCACTGGGTCTCTGTTTGCAGTGTTTCTGTAGATGCTGCACTTCTGCCTTATTTCAGATGCTAATGCCCACGTACAGTCAATTATACAGCCAATAATAATGTTCATTGTGTGTGATCTTCAGAAACAAAGAACTAAAACAGGTTAGATCCTGCTTTATTTCCAATAATAAAATTCATTATTGTCAGCTGCTTTCAAGAGACATTGTCTTTGCATGACTCTGAGCTTTGTGAAAACACCTGATATGACAATTCAATTACATGCATTGGAGAAAACCATATCGTTAGGTTCCAGTTTCGTACCTGCCTCACCTCCTGAGATATGAGACAATTAACTTATATGCTAATTTGTATAATGGTAACATCTCTGCAAAACAGTTAATATAATATTTTCTTGGTTGTTCTATCCCCTTTCAATTCCTTTCTTATTCCTAGTTATTCCAAATTCTCAACCCTTTCTGGAGCTATGCTATTCTCAACCCTTTCTGGAGCTATGTTATAAAACATACTAAACTTTTTCATTTATGTTGAATTAATTTTGAAAATATTTAAATGGATTCTTCATAGCCAATTGTATTATTCATCAGAAGGTTCAAAACAAAGTATGTGCTATGCTTCCTGTGATAATAGTTGAAACAGTATTGAACAGAAAACTCTTATTTTTTTCCATTGTAGCAGACTTTGGAGTTTGGGTGACAAAAATAAGAACTGTGAAAGTATTGGAGAAAGCATATAGGCTTCAGAATGGATCAAATATATACTCTGCCATTTTGAATTAAGAAAAATTTGAATTTGAATTCCGAAGAAAAGTGGCTGGAATACACCTATTTCAAATGGGACACCAGAATGTTTCTTGATTATTACTGATCACAAGGCATTTCCTCAACATAAGATAAGAATATTAATATAAACTTTCAATCACTAGAATGGAACTAGATACTTCAATAATGAATTCAAATGCTGTAAGACATGGAAGAACAGATATTTACCTTTTTATATATTAGAATTATGAATAATTGTTATGATTTCAAACACCTGATATGTTTGTGAAAATCCTGCAGAAGCATGGACATCTATCAACTGGTGGAGACATTGGGGAATACAGTGTTGAAATCCCTTCTTCTAGAAGCCACACGATAGAAGCACTGTAGAATTTCATTAGAATGCCTGGTTTAAGATGCATATTTCCTTATTTTCCTCTAGGTTTTCTCACCACACTATAGCTTTCTCTGATTCCCACATGATGAACTTGTAAGAAAGCTATCTTCCAAAGACCATGTCCACAACAGATCCTCTGTAAAAATACTCTGTAAGGTCTCAGCACTGCAAAGATTGATTATGACTATATTATTCCAGCCACATTCTTTCCATTTAAAATACTCTGGGAAAGATTATGAGAATAATTTTCCATGATTGTTTAATATAACAGTGACTTTAAGGTTCCAAATAAATGTTAAACAAATGCATAACATTAACATTATCCAGTATGACTTTTCCAAAAACTGCTTAGATCTATATTCAACCTCATTATCACTTAATACATCCTTCTTTAGTGAAGGTGGATTTATCAACTTCTGCTATATAGTACATGCCTATTTCTTTATAATTTATTTCCCCATTTTATTCTTTCTTATGATGTTTGCTTTATTTTACCACCTACTTTTATAGACATGACTCATTGTTTCATCCCCTCTGTATACAGACAAACTTTCATATTTATCACTCACAATTACCGTAGGTTATTTTCCTATTATTTACAAATATGGTTGCTACTGTCACTTTGTTTCTAGAAAATTACAGGAAAATCTCAAAGACAAGGCCCACTTTGTTATAATTCTCCCTTTTGCTGAAAGGAGAATTCTCCATTTCTGACTTTATGCTGAATACCCAATGAGAAAACTATGATAAAAACTATTTGAAAGAAAAAATTGGAATATAACTCCATAAGCCTTCTCAGCCAAAAAGTGGTTCTTTGTGGACACTTTGTTCTACACATGTGTTTGTCTCCTATAAAGATTACTGGATCTTTGTATTTTCGGTTTTAAGTAAAACAGAAGAGACATGAGTCAACTCACCTAAATACAGAAGAACTTGAATGAGTCATTTAGTGAAGAACTCTTTGCCAAGATTAACGAACTCCAGCAATGCTGCCGCTTGGTACTTAGAAATACACCTGAAAAGGGTAGTCAAAGCGCCCAGCAGTTTTCATTAATTATTTCATATTTTATGATTTTCCAACCTGTTAGGAAAACTCAGGGATACCAAAGATAAGATCAAGCCTGAAAAGTAAATCCTGGCACCAAGCTGTATCACAAATATACGCCATCATGACCTTAGGGATGTGAAAACTAGAGAATATAACTGAAGTACCGCCTTGATCACTGCAATTCAACTAATTATGTGTTAACACTGTCTCAGGTGGTATATTGGTTGTATATTATTTCCTAAAGCCTTAGGGCATTTGTATTATCAACTTTACTCATTTGATCTTAAAAAATAAACAACACCATTTAAAAAAATTTTATGTGGATATAAAATACATAAATCCACAAGGGGAAATTATACAGCAATAGATTTATCTTTTATTAATCCACATTTAATTTTTAAAATTTTCTTATGAAGATATATATATATGTATTCTTATGTTTCTAAACATATGGCTGCTAAACTATACTATACTGTTTATTTGGTACTTTATAATATTTTTATTATAAACTTTATTTTGCATTTACACTATTGATTCTATTGATAGAAAACAGCTTCCATTGGCTTTTCAAATATAGAACATTCTCAGATGTTTATATTTATTACTGTATCTAAAAAGAAATTTTGGATGATATGTCTTCTAAAAATATCTGTTTATGGAAAGGATGATATTTTCACTAACTTTGGTAACTACCCATTTTGGCTTTAAAGACACAGGTTAACAATAATAATAACTTGATGCAGAAGGAGCTGAAGTGGAAGCAGTAAGTTTACTTTCTTGGGCTCCAAAATCACTGCTTTATGGTGACTGCACCCATGAAATTAAAATGCACTTGCTCCGTGGGAGGAAAGTTATGACAAAACTAGGCAGCATATTCAAAACCAGAGACATCACTTTGCCAACAAAAGTCCATATAGTCAAAGCCATGGTTTTTCCAGTAGTCAGGTGCGGATATGAGAGTAGGACCATAAAGAAGACAAAGTGCCGAAGAATTGTCCTTTCAAATTGTGGTGCTGGGGAAGACTCCTGAGAGTCCTTCATCCAGCAAGATCCAACCAGTCCATCCTGAAGGAAATCAACCCTGAATATTTATTGGAAGGACTGATGCTGAAGCTGAAGCTCCAGTGCCTTGGCCACCTGATGTGAAGAGCTGACTCACTGGAAAAGACGCTGATGCTGGGAAAGAGAGAAGGCTAGTGGAGAAGAGGGCAGCACAGGATGAGACGGTGGGATGGCATCACCGACTCAACGCACATGAGTGTAAGCGAACTCCAGGAGACAGCGAAGGGCAGGGCAGCCTGGTGTGCTGCAGTCCACGGGGTGGCAAAGACTTGGACACGACTTAGTGACTGAACAACAGTAACAACACGCTTATTTCTCACTAGTGGAAGACTCAAAATACACTTTGACTGTGCAGCTGTGCCCTATGCAGGCTCTGATTTCTCCCAAATGGTACCTCACCATCATCATGGTGCTTCTGAGGCTATGATTCTCTTAATATTCACTGGAGGAAGCATACACTCTTCTTCAAATAAATGATGGCATGACAACTGGGCGTTCACAAGTAAAATTATGGGATTGGACAGTCACCTCATATCATATACAACAGTTAACTCAGAAAGTGAACAAGGACTTGAATGAAAGAGCATAAACTATAAAACTCTTACAAGAAAAACACAGGCCTTAAATTTCATGGCCTTGAGTTTGGCAGTAGATTCTTAGGGAAACAGAAACATAAGTGACAATAAATAAATAAATAAATTGCTAAATTGAACTTCCTCAAAATTTAAAATATTTGTATATTAAAAACATTACCAATAAAGTGAAAAGAAAAGGTACAGAAAAGAAACAATAAAGACAAAAAATCAAATCAGATACAATATGTAATTTACAAATGCCCAACAAGCATGTGAAAGTATTCTCAACTTATTTAGTTATTAGGAAAATGCAAATCAATATCATGATGACATATCAATTTATATCCACTGGATTTGCTGTAATAAAAGTATACAATAACAATGATTGGCAAGGATATGCAGCAACCAGAAGTTATATATTGTGCCTGGGAATCTAAAATGCTGCAGACACGGTAGAATAAGTTTGGTGGTTCCTCTCACATGGATGAACATAGA